AACTCTTTAATATGTATTTATATCTTAATGATCAATATGAGTATAGTAAGAAATAACCTACAAGTTTTAGATTTCTTGCATGTTTAGAAATAACTGACAGACACACACAATTTCCAGGATAGTGCTGGAACATTTGTTTCAGAAGCATTTCTGAAAGATTTTAACATATGATAATGTTGGTTTTACTTTCTTTAAGTGGATATTCCTAAGACCATAAAAATTGGCATAATTGTGTGTTTGTGTGTGTTATTCATATACATACATGTGAAATTCAATTATATAATAAATTTGGAGTTATATTTTTATTTTACAGTTTTTTTTTTTTTTTTTTTTTGGTAAAATAGTCTTAATGTTGACAAAGGTAGAAAGATTTCTTAAACCTTACTTATTGGTTCTAGCTAGGAGTACTTATAATTAAATCTTAGATTTTCTTAAGGACAAACTGGTCTTTCAGTGTTGTTTTCTCAGTTTCAGTAATGATGTGTCTATCTGTGATTAAGCACATTTTAATTCTTTAGACTTGTCACAGTTGTAAAGAATTTGATGAGGTATTGCAGAAAATAGAATTCTTTATCCCAGGTGAGTTGTCACATGGGAACCAGCATGGGAAGAAGATGGTAAGAGCAAGTAGGTCAAGCAGTGCTTTAGTAGTTAGAGTTGAGAGGTCAGTCTCTTTTGGGGAAGTGAAAGTAGGGCTGATTAATTGGCCTACTTCTTGGTAACTGAACCAATGTGTCATTGTGACAGAAAGGGAAGATTAGAAAACCATCATGAATTTTATGCTTATATTTATGATTTTTTTCTTAGAATTATATAGTGTTCAGTCTATTTTTTTTAATCCTATTATATGTTAAGCACTGGTGCTAGCCTAGGAAGTATGAAAATGTAAAGACAAAATTGTCTTCTTCAGGGGGATCTGACCATCTAATAGAAGAAAACATGAAAAATAATTACAAGACTATGTAAGAGATGTTGAAATAGAAATAGATAGCACAAGGTACAGAGAATGCATAAAGTAAGGGAATAATCTGATTTTTCTGTGATATCAGAGAAAACCTTACAGAGCAGCACATGAACTAGCTCTTGAAAGATGAATTGAGTTGGCCTGAAGGACAAAACAATGCTTTTCTAGGCTGAGGGAATAGCTTTCAAAGACATGAGACAACATGACACATTGGGGAATACTTGAAAGGAAGGAAAGTTAAGAAATAAACCTAAAAAATAAGATGGACTAGCTTATCAAGGGCTTTCTATTCCTGTTCCTTCAGTGGTTCACCAGTCAGTTATGAGATATTGTGAACAGATTTATTGATTAGAGAAGTTGGAAGGGGTGAAACAAAAGGCATACAGCTGAGTGACCATTCTGTTGAGCAATTTAGGTGAAAAACAGTACAGTGGCAGAGTGGACCAGAATGGGATGGATCATAAGAGGTAGAACCAGTAGGATTGGCAATTAAGGCCAAGGCTGTGGGAGAGGACTCTCAAGTGTTTCCTTGGATGTTTGCATGGGTAGTGGTGTCATTGACCCAAATAGGAATTATAAAAGGAAATTAACATTGGAGCTGGGCTGGGCTGTATAATCAGGTTAGTCTGGATATATTGATTTTGAGGTGCATGTTGAACATCTGAAGTACTAGAGAGCCTTGTAAGTTGTTAACTTACAGGTAGAAGTGGGCTTGGGTAAAGTAGCATGTTCAGAATGAGAGGGAAAGAGGACTAAGAAAGGATGCTTTTTCCTTTTTTATGAGAAATGTGATCTTTTAGGGTTCATTAGCGGAGGAAGGGCACATAAAAGTAACTGACAAGAAACAGGAGGAAAGCCAGGAGAGAGTGGTACCAAAAATTAAGGAAAGAGGAGAGAGTTGAGAATATTTGTTAATATGTGTTTGTAGAGTGGTGGTTTTATGTGGCTACCTTATGTGTCCAATGTATAATAATCTCTAATTTCAGTTGTAAAGTTTATAAATATTAAATTGATTTCATATTCATAGCAGCCATGTATGTATCTGCCTGAAAGCCCAACTTACACATATACTATAGATTTATGCTATGACTATAACTACTATTACTATATACTAGACCAGAAAGATGGTATTATATTTATTTTACAGACCATAAAACGAAGTATAGGTAATTTGTGTAAGGACACATGTGTCCTTACAGACTTGGATTCAATCTAGGACTTCCAGGCCCCTCCTGAACAGTGGTGCATCTACATAGGTTGAAATCACAGCACACTTATAAATGAATTTAAAGGTATTTCTCATTTCCAAACCTTTTTATATATGTGGATCAAACTTTAGAATTTTAAAATGTGTTATACTAGGAAAGGAATTAATTATTATTTTTTGCTCTTGTTAGTCCAAAATTTAATAATATGCTTTCTTGATATAATTATTTTTTCAACTTTTAAAGTGTCATGCATGCAGTTGGTAGTTAAGACGTTTTTTAGTTTTTAACTTTTTGATTATGATCATAGATTCTCCCCATCCTACGTCTTTAATATTTGTCTGGTATAAGAGGTGTTTTTGCTGCTAAATGAATATTAGAGTTCATTCTTACTGATAAGAATAAATTTTGAAAAAATTAATAAATAACAATAATGAATTGTATCAATAAATTGAAGTTATTAATGGTTATTTGGTCAGTTCTCTGAGAGAGAGAGAGACAGAGACAGAGAGAGAGAGAGAGAGAGAGAAAGGAATCCTGTACTTGTATTTAATCATAAAAACCCCAAGAAATAACTAAGAAGTGGCAAATCTTGGATCCTACTCTTAGCTTTTAGAATAACTATCAAGAGTGAACTGGCAAGTACTTCCTTTCTCTGGGCCCAGTTTCTCATCTATAGAATGAAGAAATGATGAAAAACTTTCCTTCTAACATTTTGAAAATCTTAAATTTTGATAAGGATTAGGAAAATAGGTGAATGTAACGTTATTTTCTGTGCTGGCTATAGTTTCCATGCAAAACAAAACATAGTAACAATTGCAACTTCTATGTTTTTGATTAAGTTAGGGAAACTAAGATAAACCACCTTCATTTTGGTAGGAGATATTAAAATGAGCCCTTTGATCAAGTTAATAGCTGTATAAAAAGAATGCAGAACTCCTCACTGTGCAACTTGAGATAATATTTTTCTGTGAGAATTTAGTTTTTTAAAACATTTTTAGGTTTTAGTCATTAAAACACTCCTTAAAAGTATAAATTATATGCTTAATAATCTCTTATGTATAATTGAATTGAAATAAAAGAAAATTTACCAGTCTCTAGTCATGTTTTTCCTCTGCTAAAACTTCCCTTGTTCTCAGTATCATCTATGAAACCAGGTTACTAGAAAAACTGGAAATTTGAGAAACTTACTTGTCTCAAAAGTGGGGTTAATAATATTACCTACCCAGTAGAATTTTTGTGAAAATTAATTGATGTTATCAATCAATGTAACATAATGGCTGGCACATAATAAGTAACTCAGTCATTAATCGAATGAAAAAATTTAAGAAAGATTTAGGCTATACATTGACTTACAAATAGGAGATGAAACAGGGTAAGGTATTTAGTTTCTTCTGTTTGTTATAGAGAGATCAGATTGAAATTTACAAAAATGTATTTTCTTTATCCTGCCCTACAGAGTAGAACATTTATTTTACTCAGATTATAGCTCTCATATATAAAAATTTATTTATTTTTTGTGGTGAGATGGAGTTTCATTCTTGTTGGCTAGGCTGGAGTGCGATGGTGTGGTCTCAGCTCACTGCAACCTCCGCCTCCTGGGTTCAAGCGATTCTCCTGCCACCATGTCTGGCTAATTTTTATATTTTTAGTAGAGATGGGGTTTCATTGTGTTGGTCAGGCTGATCTCAAACTCCTGACCTTAGGTGGTCTGCCTGCCTCAGCCTCCCAAAGTGCTTGGATTATAGGCATGAGCCACTGTGCCTGGCCAACAGCTCTCATATGTTTTATAACAGCTTCACAAAACTGTATACGTACACACATACACACATACACACACGCATACCCCATATTACACCCTTTGTACTGATGGATCTTGAGTAAGTTTACGTAAAATACAATTTCTAGGTCTGCTGGCTCAGAACAACAAAGTCTGGTCTAGTTTTAATTAGAAAATAAGTAACAATAATTAGTTTGTGTCATTCAGTTAACTTTCTTCCTAGTTTAAGAATTAATTTCAAAAATAGGTTAAGTATCATATTATCTGATTTTCTAAAATATGACTTTTGATTTCCAAGTATCTTTTGAGTATGTGTGGCAGAATAACTTAACCAAATTCTTGTCATTGATACCAAAAAAAAAAAAGGGGCGCATCAGATACAAAAGCAATACTTAGGGTATTTTTTCCAGAATAATTTTAAACAAGGTATTTTCTTCTAAATGCCATGAGCAGAATTTTGTTGAAAGCCAAGATTGGTAGATTATTGTTATAATTCAGATAGAAGAAATTTAAGTAGTTGGAATATTAGCAAATAATACTCTATTTCAGTACTTTTTCTTTATTTAGAATGCCGAGATGATGAATTCACTCTTCAGTCTAAACAAGATTTAGAGGGACATATTAGGCAGAGAAAGAACTTCACCTAAAAGTGAGTTATTAGGATGCTATGGTTCATATAACCCAGGATAGAGAGTTGAAGATAATAATAGTAAAGTTTGGTTAGGAGGAGATCACAATGGTGAGAAATACAAATTGGCAAGACTGCGGCATAAAGTCAAGGACAAGTACGTCTGTGATAGGAGATGAGGAAAACCATTCCTGTGTTAAGATTGAGCATAGAGACAGTCCAGATTCTAGCACAGATTATTTAGATATATATTTCAGAGTTCACCATAAAAGAGAGTATGAAGTAATTGGGACTTAAACTTGGTGAATTTTAATTATCAGGATAGGAAACATATTTCCTTATGAAATAACTAGAAATTTTGTCTGAATTTTGTTCAGAACGAGTGTGCGAACTTTCTAATTACCTTTTCTTCAATTTTTTCAGATCAGCTGTTTCATGTATTAGCCTTGCACATGAGGCTTTATAGCATTGACTCTGAGTATAATCCCTGGAGAAAGCTCACCCAGTTAGAAGAGATGAATCCACAGTAAGTATAATTGAAAGACTAAAATCAATGAAAACTTTTTATGAAAAATAGGTGTTAAATATAAAAATGGAATTGAAATTTCAATGTGTGATTTTTTTCACATTTTCTTTATGAAGCACAGAAATTATGCTGTCTGTAAAAGTTGCATACAATTTCCCACCATGTGAGAAAATCTTTTAAAGAATCTGACTGATTTTTATGCAGATGAAATATTCAAGTGGAGGCACATAATGGCTATTTGTCTTTTTATGTCACAGTTAATTAGTGGGTTCAGGTACCCTTAGTCTGATTCCTCCATCGTGAAGTGCTCCATCAGTCTTTCACCTGATGGTTTCTTTATATATATATTTTATTGCACTTTAGGCTCTGGGGTACATGTGCAGAACATGCAGGATTGTTGCATAGGTACCTACATGGCAATGTGGTTTGCCGCCTCCATCCCTCCATCACCTATATCTGGCATTTCTCCTCTTGTTGTTCCTCCCCAACCTTCCTACCCTCTGCTGTTCCTCCCTTAGTCCCCCCGCAACAGACCCCAGTGTGTGACACTCTCCTCCCTGTGTCCATGTGTTCTTATTGTTCAACACTCGCCTATGAGTGAGAACATGTGTTGTTTGATTTTCTGTTCTTGGGTCAGTTTGCTGAGAATGGTGGTTTCCAGATTCATCCATGTCCCTACAAAGGACACAAACTCATTGTTTTTTATGGCTGCATAGTATTCCATGATGTATATGTGCCACATTTTCATTGTCCAGTGTATCATCGATGGGCATTTGGGTCGGTTCCAGGTCTTTGCTATTGTAAACAGTGCCACAATGAACATACATGTGCGTGTGTCTTTATAATAGAATGATTTATAATCCTTTGGATATATACCCAGTAATGGGATTGCTGGGTCAAATTTCTATTTCTAGGTCCTTGAGGAATCGCCACAGTGTCTTCCACAATGGTTGAACTAATTTACACTCCTACCAACAGTGTAAAAGTGTTCCTGTTTCTTCACATCCTCTCCAGCATCAGTTGTCTCCAGATTTTTTAATGATTGCCATTCTAACTGGTGTCAGATGGTATCTCAATGTGGTTTTGATTTGCATTTCTCTAATGACCAGTGATGATGAGGATTTTTTTTATATGTTTGTTGGCCTCATATATGTCTTCTTTTGAAAATTGCCTGTTCATATCATTCGCCCACTTTTGAATGGGTTTGTTTTGTTTTTTTTCTCGTAAATCTGTTTTGGTTCTTTGTAGATTCTGAACATTAGCCCTTTGTCAGATGGGTAGATTGCAAAATTTTTTTCCCATTCTGTTGGTTCCCGGTTCACTCTAATGATTGTTTCTTTTCCTGTACAGAAGCTCTGGAGTTTAACTAGATCCCATTTGTATATTCTGGCTTTTGTTGCCAATGCTTTTGGAGTTTCAGTTGTGAATCCTTGCCTATGCCTGTGTCCTGAATGGTTTTGCCTAGGTTTTCTTGTAGGGTTTGTATGGTGTCAGGTCTTATGTTTAAGTCTTTAATCCATCTGGAGTTAATTTTAGTGTAAGGTGTCAGGAAGGGGTCCAGTTTCTGCTTTCTGCACATGGCTAGCCAGTTTTCCCAACCATTTATTAAACAGGGAATCCTTTCTCCATTGTGTGTTTTTCTGAGGTTTGTCAAAGATCAGATGATTGTAGATGTGTGGTGTTGCCTCTGAGGCCTCTGTTCTGTTCCATTGGTCTATATCTCTGTTTTGGTACCAGTACCATGCCGTTTTGATTATTATAGCCTTGTAGTATAGTTTGAAATCAGGTAGCGTGATGCCTTCACCTTTGTTCTTTTTACTTAGAATTGACTTGGCTATGCAGGCTCTCCTTTGGTTCCATATGAAGTTTAAGGTGGCTTTTTTTAGTTCTGTGAAGAGGGTCATAGGTAGCTTGATGGGGATAGCATTGAATCTGTAAATTACTTTGGGCAGTATGGCCATTTTCACAATATTGATTCTTCCTAACCATCAGCATGGAATGTTTTTCTGTTTGTGTCTTCTCTTATTTCCTTGAGCAGTGGTTTGTACTTCTCCTTGAAGAGGTCCTTTTCATCCTTTGTTAGCTGTATTCCTGGGTACTTTACAGGTATTCTCTTTATAGCAATTGTGAATGGCAGTCATTCTTGATTTGGCTCTCTTTAAGTCTTTTGTTGGTGTATAGGAATGCTTGTGATTTCTGCACATTGATTTTGTATTCTGAGACTTTGCTGAAGTTGCTTATCAGTTTCAGGACATTTTGGGCTGAGATTATGGGGTCTTCTAAATATACAATCATGTTTCCTGCAAATAGAGACAATTTGACTTCCGTCTTTCCTAATTGAATGCCCTTTATTTCTTTTTCTTGCCTGATTGCTCTGGCCAGAACTTCCAATACTATATTGAATAGGAGTGGTGAGAGAGTGCATCCTTGTCTAGTGCCAGATTTTAAAGGGAATGCTTCCAGTTTCTGCCCATTCAGTATAATATTGGCTGTGAGTTTGTCGTAAATAGCTTTTATTAATTTGAGATACGTTCCATCGATACCTTGTTTATTGAGAGTTTTTAGCATAAAGCGCTGTTGAATTTTGTCGAAGGCCTTCTTTGCATCTGTTAAGATAATCACATGATTTTTGTCTTTGGTTCTGTTTATGTGGTGGATTGCATTTATAGACTTGCATATGTTGAACCAGCCTTACATCCCTTGGACGAAGTCTACTTGATTTTGGTGGATACACTTTTTGATGTGCTGTTGCCATCAGTTTGCCAGTATATTATTGAAGATTTTTGGATATTGGCCTGACGTTTTCTTTTCTTATTGAGTCTCTGCTGGGTTTTCATATCAGGATGATGTTGGTCTCATAAAATGATTTGGGAAGGATTCCCTCTTTTTGTATTGTTTCAGAAGTGGTACCAGCTCCTCTTTGTATGTCTGGTAAAATTCAGCTGTGAACCCATCTGGACCTGGGCCTTTTTTGGTTGGTAGGCTGTTAATTGCTGCCTCAACTTCAGCCCTTGTTATTGGTCTATTCAGGGTTTCCACTTCTTCCTGGTTTAGGCTTGGGAGGGTGCATGTGTCCAGGAATTTATCCATGTCTTCCAGGTTTACTGGTTTATGTGCATAGAGTTGTTTGTAGTAATCTCTGATTGTAGTTTGTATTCCTGTGGAATCGGTGGTGATATCCTTTTTATCATTTTTTATTGCATCTATTTGATTCTTCTCTCTTTTATTTTTGTTAATCTGGCTAGTGGTCTATTTTGTTGATCTTTTCAAAAAACCAGCTGCTGGATTTATTGATTTTTTTAAGGTTTTTTTTTTTTTTTTGTTTCTGTCTCCTTTAGTTCTGCTCTGATCTTAGTTATTTCTTGTCTTCTGCTAGCCTTTGGGTTTTTTTGATCTTGCTCCTGCAGTTCTTTCAATTTTGATGATAGGGTGTCGATTTTAGATCTTTCCTTGCTTCTCATGTGGGCATTTATTGCTATAAATTTTCCTCTAGACACCGCTTTAAGTGTATCCCTTAGATTCTGGTATGTTGTGTCTTCGTTCTCATTGGTTTTGAAGAACATCTTTATTTCTGCCTTCATTTCATTGTTTATCCAGTCAACATTCAAGAGCCAGTTGTTCAGTTTCCATGAAGTTGTGCAAGTTAGTTTGTTAATCCTGATTTCTAATTTGATTGCACTGTGGTCTGAGAGACTATTTATTCTGGTTTCCATTCTTTTGAATTTGCTGAGGAGTGATTTACTTCCAATTATGTGGTCAATTTTAGAGTAGGTGTGATGCGGTGCTGAGAAGAATGTCTATTCTGTGGATCTGGGGTGGAGAGTTCTGTAGATGTCTATTAGGTTTGCTTCATCCAGATCTGAGTTCAAGTTCTCGATATCCTTGTTAATTTTCTGTCTTGTTGATCTTCCTAATATTCACAGTGGAGTGTTAAAGTCTCCCACTGTTATTGTGTGGGAGTCTAAGTCTCTTTGTAGGTCATTAAGAACTTGCTTTCTGTATCTGGGTGCTCCTGTATTGGGTGCATATATACTTAGAATCGTTAGCTCTTCTTTTTGCATTGATCTTTTTACCATTATATGATGCCCTTCTTTGTCTCTTTTGATCGTTGTTGGTTTAAAGTCTATTTCATCAGAGGCTAGGATTGCAACTCCTGCTTTTTTTTTTTTTTTGCTCTTCGTTTCACCTAATGGTTTTAAGGACCTTTGATAATTCTTGCTAAAATTCATTATTACATTAGGTGCTGCAAAATAGTGATTTTAAAAACTTTTTCCTTTTGATTTATTAGATGGAATGTGTTTAGACAGAACTTTTCCATATCAACTGTTTGTTGACCCTGAAATATAGTTTGGCAGGATGAACACTTGATTTTTTTCCAATTTATAAATTTTCAAAGTAAAGAATGGATGCCCTGTCAACTTCCCATGGTGACCAATATGTTTGGTTTTTCATGTATTTTATGATCTCATGGATTTTTATATATTTGATGTTTTTCACTCCATTTCAGTTTTTCTTTTTTTGTTACAAATTGCTACCTTTTATGTTAATGAGAATCTCTCCAGACTGACTTTTGTACATTTGGCATGTCTTTCATCATATCCTTGCTTTCTGGTACAAGTTGACCAGGGTTCATTTTGTACATTTTCTATTCTGTACTTGGAATCAGCCATTTCTTCATTTAGTTCCTTTTAATGGCAAATAGTATTTAGAGACCACAGTCTGGGTGCTAGAGGGTATACATAGCTAATATTTACTAGGTTATCATTGTTTATAGGCCATTTCAGTCAATGGAGTTGGAAAATTTTTTTTTTTTTTAATTCAAAGCAGATGTTGGAAGGAAATTTTTTTTTTTAGGGAAAAAAAGATCCTGAGTTCTTATTTATGTTTCTAATCCATAAGATTGCAAGGTTTTCATTTTATTTCTTAACTTTTTTGTTATTTGTATCTTTTTTCTCGTATTCTCTTGATTCCTAATAATATTAACATAATTGTATAACTAA